CACAGCACCCTGCCCGGCCTCACAGCACCCTGCCCGGCCTCACAGCACCCTGCCCGGCCTCACAGCACCCTGCCCGGCCTCACAGCACCCTGCCCGGCCTCACAGCACCCTGCCCGGCCTCACAGCACCCCGCCCGGCCTCACAGCACCCCGCCCGGCCTCACAGCAACCCCGCCCGGCCTCACAGCACCCCGCCCGGCCTCACAGCACCCCGCCCGGCCTCACAGCACCCCGCCCGGCCTCACAGCACCCTGCCCGGCCTCACAGCACCCCGCCCGGCCTCACAGCACCCCGCCCGGCCTCACAGCACCCTGCCCAGCCTCACAACACACCGCCCGGCTTCACAGCACCCTGCCCGGCCTCACAGCACCCTGCCCGGCCTCACAGCACCCTGCCCGGCCTCACAGCACCCTGCCCGGCCTCATAGCACTCTGCCCGGCCTCAAAGCACCCTGCCCGGCCTCACAGCACCCTGCCCGGCCTCATAGCACTCTGCCCGGCCTCACAGCACTCTGCCCGGCCTCACAGCACCCTGCCCGGCCTCACAACACACCGCCCGGCCTCACAGCACCCCGCCCGGCCTCATAGCACCCTGCCCGGCGTCACAGCACCCTGCCCGGCCTCACAGCACCCTGCCCGGCCTCACAGCACCCCGCCCGGCCTCACAGCACCCTGCCCGGCCTCACAGCACCCTGCCCGGTCTCATAGCACCCTGCCCGGTCTCATAGCACCCTGCCCGGCCTCACAGCACCCTGCCCGGCCTCACAGCACCCTGCCCGGCCTCACAGCACCCTGCCCGGCCTCACAGCACCCTGCCCGGCCTCACAGCACCCCGCCCGGCCTCACAGCACCCCGCCCGGCCTCACAGCACCCCGCCCGGCCTCACAGCACCCCCCCCCGGCCTCACAGCACCCCCCCCGGCCTCACAGCACCCCCCCCGGCCTCACAGCACACCGCCTTGCCTCACAGCACCCCGCCCGGCATCACAGCACCCCGCCCGGCCTCACAGCACCCCCCCTCGGCCTCACAGCACCCCCCCCCCCCGGCCTCACAGCACCCCCCCCCAGGCCTCACAGCACCCTGCCCGGTCTCACAGCGCCCCGCCCGGCATCACAGCGCCCCGCCCGGCATCACAGCGCCCCGCCTGGCCTCACAGCACCCCGCCCGGCCTCACAGCACTCCGCCCGGCCTCACAGCACCCCGCCCGGCCTCACAGCACCCTGCCCGGCCTCACAGCACCCTGCCCGGCCTCACAGCACCCCGCCCGGCCTCACAGCACCCCGCCCGGCCTCACAGCACCCCGCCCGGCCTCACAGCACCCTGCCCGGCCTCACAGCACCCTGCCCGGCCTCACAGCACCCTGCCCGGCCTCACAGCACCCTGCCCGGCCTCACAGCCACCGCCCGGCCTCACAGCACCCCGCCCGGCCTCACAGCACCCCGCCCGGCCTCACAGCACCCCGCCCGGCCTCACAGCACCCCGCCCGGCCTCACAGCATCCCGCCCGGCCTCACAGCACCCCGCCCGGCCTCACAGCACCCTGGCCCGGCCTCACAGCACACCGCCCGGCCTCACAGCACACCGCCCGGCCTCACAGCACCCTGCCCGGCCTCACAGCACCCCGCCCGGCATCACAGCACCCCGCCCGGCCTCACAGCACCCCCCGCCCGGCCTCACAGCACCCCCCCTCGGCCTCACAGCACCCCCCCCGGCCTCACAGCACCCCCCCCGGCCTCACAGCACCCCCCCCGGCCTCACAGCACCCTGCCCGGCCTCACTGCACTCTGCCCGGCCTCACAGCACACCGCCCGGCATCACAGCGCCCCGCCCGGCCTCACAGCACCCCGCCCGGCCTCACAGCACCCCGCCCGGCCTCACAGCACCCCGCCCGGCTTCACAGCACCCCGCCCGGCCTCACAGCACCCCGCCCGGCCTCACAGCACCCCGCCCGGCCTCACAGCACCCCGCCCGGCCTCACAGCACCCCGCCCGGCCTCACAGCACCCCGCCCGGCCTCACAGCACCCCGCCCGGCCTCACAGCACCCTGCCCGGCCTCACAGCACCCTGCCCGGCCTCACAGCACCCCGCCCGGCCTCACAGCCCACCGCCCGGCCTCACAGCACCGCCCGGCTTCACAGCACCCGCCCGGCCTCACAGCACCCCGCCCGGCCTCACAGCACACCCCTCCCGGCCTCACAGCACCCCGCCCGGCCTCACAGCACCCCGTCCGGCCTCACAGCACCCCGGCCGGCCTCACAGCATCCAGGCCGGCCTCACAGCACACCGCCCGGCCTCACAGCACACCGCCCGGCCTCACAGCACACCGCCCGGCCTCACAGCACACCGCCCGGCCTCACAGCACACCGCCCGGCCTCACAGCACACCGCCCGGCCTCACCGCACCCCGCCCGGCCTCACCGCACCCCGCCCGGCCTCACCGCACCCCGCCCGGCATCACAGCACACCGCCCGGCCTCACAGCACACCGCCCGGCCTCACAGCACACCGCCCGGCCTCACAGCACACCGCCCGGCCTCACAGCACACCGCCCGGCCTCACAGCACACCGCCCGGCCTCACAGCACACCGCCCGGCCTCACAGCACACCGCCCGGCCTCACAGCACACCGCCCGGCCTCACAGCACACCGCCCGGCCTCACAGCACACCGCCCGGGCCATAAGTATAATCTTTTGCCTCATTTCACTCATAATTTTGATGAATGTTTCTTGGAGCTGTGCCGTCAGGAGGCGACCCCCCCCCCCCCCCGGGGAGGATGAGGAGATGGTGGAGGAGAAGGTAGAAGAGATGATGGAGGAGGAGGATTAAGATTGAGAGAGAGGGAGAAGGCGGTGGAACTATACGAAGAACCAAGATTAACTGACGTTTGTACAGGAAAACGTTATCTTGTCTGTCTTATCTCCCTACTCCAATCCTCTTCTCAACTCTTCTCCTCCAACCCCCCACCCTTATCCTTCCTTCTCCCTCCCTCCTTCCATCCTCCCACACACCTCCACCACTGTCCCTCCTCCTTCCTCTGTGCTAGCAGCCCCTACCCCACCATGGGTAACAGCTTCTCCCCCATATCAACCTACCCTGGCTTTGCACCCTGGAGAGGCCACTCCAGACCCACAACCAGAGCGTAACTCCATAGTCTCCTGACACCGATGGATGACTAGTTCTACTATTGACAAAAATTTATTACAAGTTTAACTAATCTGAGTAATTTAATTAGGTCGTGTTAGAGTGAGGATAATGCTGGTGTTCTCTGTCACGCAGGGCAGAGGGTCTCCCCTTAAGCATGGGGAGCCGGTGGCCGAGCGGACAGCACGCTGGGCAAGTGATCCTCTGGTCCAGGGTTCGATCCCGGGCGCCTGCGAGAAACGATGGACAGAGTTTCTTTCACCCTATGCCCCAGTTACCTAGCAGTAAATAGGTACCTCGGAGTTAGTCAGCTGTCACGGGCTACTTCCTGGGGTGTAGGTGTGTGTGTGTGTGGTGTGGAAAAAAAGTAGTTAGTAGTTAGTAACAGTTGAGAGGCGGGCCGAAAGAGCAGAGCTCAACGCCCGCAAGCACAACTAGGTGAATACAAGACAATAGGTTTAAACTGCAGGCTGAAGCACATATATGGTTATGAAGCACATATGAAGCACATGGTTACAATCAATGTTTTAATGTACGAATATGTAAATACAACTTAATATTGTGTACTGCCACACAAGGGCAGGGATGGGGTCATAAAAGATGCCCCTGCTCACCGAGCCGTAAATAGGTACCTGGGAGTTAAACATCTGCCATGGGCTACATTCAGAGTCGTTCCAATTAAGAGTCAGGTCCTGACCAGCAGACAGAGCAGACGTGTACCCGGGTAGCTCCTGACGCCCTGCAGACAAGCGAGCAGTTTTCCAAACAAGCGTGTTGGCTGCTTGGCTGCTCCGTGTAGGGCCACTCCACCTGTCACTCACACCGTGGCGACGCGGTGCAGTAGGTGACAAGATGAACAAGGTGAAGGAGTCCATCCACAGGTGGACTTCTGCCACCTCCAGGTGGAAAGAGTCCGTTTCACACCGATTTAATCATCATATTAATCATGACCTTGTCCGCCCGAGGACTTGACAGTTCAAGCCGCAGGACTGGTCACCTGTCAACTGCTTGGCGGGAACAGGTTGACGGTGATTATATAACAGTGCGATATTATGGGAGTTTCTGAAGAAGTTTGATTCCTTAGAAGCCTAATGTGAATGCCGCTAAGAAGTCCTTAGAAGCCACACTTAGCCTGGTGTGAAAGAGTCAGTTCAGGTGATTACTTTGTGTGTGAGACTCTCACGTACGTGGCTGTGAGGGATGGACCCCCTCCCCCTTAATATGGACAAGGTAACATGTACACTATGGAAAAGTGGTTAATATGCATGTGAATAAGTGTACTTCTTGTCCAACCAAAGGAACTTGCAATGGTGCTGGAACAGTGAAAATGGAACTGAACCGAGAGATTCCTTCGTCAGTGGCAGACAATATTAACATTCTACATGAAAATGACTATTCCCCCCCATTTCCTGGGGCCACATTACCTGTCCCGGCACACACTGAGGTAAGTGCTGCTCTACAAGGTGGTGTGGATGACACAATTCTCCAACCCGTCCTCAGACAAGTCCATTCCATCCAGCGGTCGACCCATTCATCAGTTTTAACATGCTGTTCGTTCAAAATAGGAATTTTCTCAAATATTAACTAATATTGTTATATATTAGCATATTGTGGATATTTGGCACTGGTTAAGTTAGGTGTTTGGGTTCTGTTGGCGATTATTTGTATTTGTAGTTCGTGGGTGAAGCATTTACAGCGTTGTGGTTCGAACAAAACTCGTCAGTGAAGCACTTGTTCCGGAAGTGTTCGAACGTCATCAGTTGTGAGTCCTGTGTAAACCGTGTTTCATTCATTAACAGCTGGGGGTTTGGCGGCTGGATTAACGAGCTTGGATCTTTGTATGCGAGGACGGGTTGCGCTGAAACGAGTCGTTAAGGTCGTCTCCCTCGGATCAGATTCACGAAGTAGTTACGCAAGTACTTATGAACCTGTACATCTTTTCTCAATCTTTGGCGGCTTTGTTTACAATTATTAAACAGTTAATGAGCTCGGAAGCACCAGGAGGCTGTTTATAACTATAACAACAGTTGATTGGCAAGTTTTCATGCTTGTAAACTGTTTAATAAATGTAACCAAAGCCGTCAAAGATTGAGGAAAAATGTACACGTTCGTAAGTACTTACGTAACTGCTTCGCGAATCTGACCCCACGTTCGTAAGTACTTACGTAACTGCTTCGCGAATCTGACCCCACGTTCGTAAGAGCTTGCGTAACTGCTTCGTGAATCTGGCCCCTTCATATCAAGGTTAGACACACGAGTAAAGAGGAAAACTGGACTGTTTATGTATGTTTAGTGTTACATAAATGTTATCCGTAAACATTGTTCATTTATAAAAGAGAAACATTTATTAGTATTAAATACAAATTGATATTTAACGCATTTACGGAAACCTGTCCCAGTGCGGTTTCCAGTTAGTAAATATTAGGATTTATCGCCATCTATTTGTCGTGATTAATAGTGCGGGCATGAGGTGAACTATTAGGGGGGGGGGATGGGGGATGGGGGAGGGGGGTGTCGGAAAATCCGACACCATTTTATAATATTACATGCAATTGCAGATAATATTGCTGCTATGTTGTATACACAAGTTACCCATAGAAAATGTAGCTTGTAGTGGAATTTTCCGTCAATAGAAAACGGGATATCATTGCCACATACTATTACAAACTCACCAACTATTCTGCTGGGAATTATTCTTCAATTCATTAGTCTTTGGACTTTTTACATCATAAAACATCTCATTTAAATTAACTTAATTATTAGTATCAAAATAAAGTAAATGTGACCCTTCTATCAGTTACTGATATCTGGACAAAGTAGGCCAGGCGTCAGTGAGGAAGGAGGGTCAGCCATTGGTAGACCAGAGTCGTTGGGCAAATTCGGCTCCTATAGATTCTCTTGGACGAAGTGTTATGGAGACCAAAGTTCTGCCATCATCAACACGCTGTCAACATAATCACAAGGGAAGTGTTTTTCCGAAACCCGTTTATCTAATCATTTTTGACCATTAATGTTAGGTAGATATTGGGCGAGCCGGTTAGAACACGAACGACCGACTCAAAAAAGGTAATTAAGCCTTGGTCTTTATGATTCATTTTACAGTGTTTTCTCTGATATAGCTGTCATATATTAGGATTCTGGCTTTACAGCTAGCGCCCTTTGACAGGTCAAGAAGAGGAAGCAAGCTTGGTATATCAGTTACTGGGTGATGGAAGCTGCCTCACACGAGGATAATTTGGTGTCTACATCCTAGTTATACCTGGTGGACTAAGCCTGCTGTGTAATAAGATAAGGAACCTCCTCAATGTATACTAATATATGTAGTTTAATACTGCAGTTTGATTGGCTGCATATATATATAAATTCGATATAAACCTCCCCCTAATGTGTATGGATCGATTTGTGAGATTATTGCAGAAATACAGTCCACCTAACATCATACAAATTGCTATCGAAAAATATAAATTAACGTAAATATAAATTCTATATAATTTCATATAAATTAAATAAATATAAATCTCACAGGTCGGTTCCCACAGGGGGGGGGATGGATGGGGGAGGGGATGGATGGGGGAGTGGGGGGAGGTAGGGGAGGTGTATGGGGGAGTGGGGGGAGGTGGGGGTGGATGGGGGAGGTGTATGGGGGAGTGGGGGGAGGTGGGGGTGGATGGGGGAGGTGGGGGGGGATGGGGGAGGGGGGGGGGAGGGGGGTATATGGGGGAGGGGGGTGGATGGGGGAGTGGGGGTGGATGGGGGAGGGGGGGTGGATGGGGGACGGGGAGGGGGTGGATGGGGGAGGGGGGTGGATGGGGGAGGAGGGGGTGGAGGGGGGGGAGGGGAGCTATAATACTGTCACCTGGTAATTCAAAAGGATGAATGGTCATTCATTCATTTATTTATTTGATTATGAGTTCATGAACAGTTTTTATTTTGTATTTGGTCATATATATATTGGTTTACTGTGTGTGAAGAGCAGCGCACGCACACGGACGCACGCACACGGACGCACGCAGAGAGCCCCATACGCACGCATGGATCTACGTAAACACACAGCCTCACACAATCTAACACAAACCCATACAATCTAACACAAACTCATACAATCTAACACAAACCCTTACAATCTAACACAAACCCATACAATCTAACACAAACCCATACAATCTAACACAAACCCATACAATCTAACACAAACTCATACAATCTAACACAAACCCTTACAATCTAACACAAACCCATACAATCTAACACAAACCCTTACAATCTAACACAAACCCATACAATCTAACACAAACCCATACAATCTAACACAAACCCATACAATCTAACACAAACCCTTACAATCTAACACAAACCCATACAATCTAACACAAACCCTTACAATCTAACACAAACCCATACAATCTAACACAAACCCTTACAATCTAACACAAACCCATACAATCTAACACAAACCCATACAATCTAACACAAACCCTTACAATCTAACACAAACTCATACAATCTAACACAAACTCATACAATCTAACACAAACCCTT